TATTTAGAGAATTGAATTATTATAGTTGCGTTTCAAATGAGCTTCTATAAATACTTTTTACGTTTCTGTGACTTTGTATCTTATCCTTCGAATATTACAGTATTAACTTCATTAACTTTTTTAGAAACAGTTTAAAAAATAGAATAAATTTATGTTATTTTATATAATAGATAAATTATGATTCTGATAAATCTTATATATTTGATTTATGTATTTAATATTACCACAACTAGGCAACAGATTTTGATCATTTTTTAAGTATGCTAGTATTTATTTGTCTCCTGTTTTATGGGGCTCTGATTGACCCTCGATCTCACGATTGTTAATCCATGTCATTTACAACATTATCAACAGATTCAGTTGCTACAAATTTATCTTCAAAATACTTCAATAACCAGTAGTTGCTTAATCGATAACTCTTTATTAACTTGAATTTTTCATGTTTCCCATTCGAACGTCAGACAGTCAGATGAAGTAATGGTTCATATATCTCGTATTTGTTTTCATACAAACGTTTTAGAGCTTCTAAAACAATTCTTGACTAGTACGAGCTTTTATATACAGAGGTCAGAGAGCTTCGCCTCGGATACATTTATCGGCAGAATTGATGGATAAACGAGTTTTCCTGCTGGTATACAGAGTGTTTTCTGAACCATTTTCCCAAAAGATTAAATTATTAAAGTTCAAAGAGACACTCGAAGAGAGAAAGTAATTCAAAGTAAAAGCTTCATTGATATAAAAAATGATTTTATTATATGGACTTTTGACTGTATAAATCAATGGACATCGTAAAATTCTTATTGTATCAGGCAATCAATTATTATTTTCTGAACAGAGAATATACAGTTTTATCAAATATTTATTATTTAAATTAAGTATAAAAAGAAATTGAGAGTCAGGTTTCTATTTAGATTTCTTTCGAAGCAGAGAGGAGTTATTTTTTCCTGCAAGTTTACAGACGTCTACATTCTGGAAGTGTTCGATTGTCCAGACGATGCCGGATAATTTTACACTACTTTCGACGATGACGAGTGGAACAAACGGTACTGTTCTGTACTGGCCGCGGTGTACAAATAAACAGAGTCCAATTTATAGAACACGAAATCCGCGTTCACACCTCGGATTCTTCCATCGGCTGCAAACAATCGTCGACAAACATTTCATCTGGACTTCTATTGTAAACCTGAGCTGACTCGAGAGTAAATTTTCACAGAACCAACTGAACGTGTCTAAAAAAATTAGTTACATAATCATTGCTACGATACTTTGATCCTAACTAATTTTATTAAAAGTATATTGCAATAGAGTTAGACAATTAAACAGAAAATTTAAATGGTAAGGAATGTTTGATTTTGGGTGTAGAAAATATTTTACTAAAAATATTTACTTGCTTTGTAATTATTTTATTTAGTAAAATTCATAGATTTTAAGAGATATACATAATATATATACATTCATTATAATTTTACTTGTCGAGGTCGGTTACGTGACTTAATAAACTCAATTATACTCTGTGAAACGAATAAAAAGGTGTCTTAACAAAAACCTACAAATTACGTGACTTGATAAAGAAAACGTACTGCAACGTACGTACATACAGAATTAAATGTTACTCCAGTATAAATAAATTAACAGTTATTGCAATAACTATAATTATTTAAAGAATTTCGATATTCACTGTAACATGTATTTTTCTACAAACGCTCGATTATTAATTTCTTATCTCAATGATTTATGACTATCAAGAGTCGACAATTAAATTATCAAGCGCGACGGTTCGTATTTCCCCACGGAACTAGCTCTTATTTTCAAAACCTATTTTGCAATCAATTTTCCCTCCCTCGGCGAGGAAATTCTCGCCCCCTGGGTGTTGTAACACGTGGTTCCTCGTTTCCGCGTGGATTATAGAAAACTGTTCATAGCTAGTAAGCCAATCAGCACTTTACTTCTGAATTTAATTACATTTATTAAAAATTACTCTAACGTATAAAAAATTAAATCTCGTGCAAAACATAATCACAGATTGAACAAAATAAATCGCGTTCGACTGTTAATAATGGTAAACGTATAATTTCGATACGAAAATCGGCGAATTCAATTTTCCCCAGGGCTTCCTGCGTGGCGGAAGTTAGAAGAAAGTCAAGCAAAAGGAAGAAGAAGGGATATGAGGTAGACGAGGTGAAACTTTAATCACCGATTCGCAACGCAAAGAGAGGAATGGCGAGACGAGCGCGGGCGGAGAGGAGTAGATCCAGAGGTCGAAGACGCCGGGCGTCGCGACGCGCACCGATGCTCCCGCCGCGCAAGCGTCAGCAAGTAAGGCATCGACCGGGTAGGAGGCTTCGCTTGGGTGCAGAAGCGAGGGGATGGAAAAATGGGAAAAAGAATCAAACAGAAGAAGAAATGAAAGAAGAAAGTTATGAACAAATACAGAGGATGAGGTAAAAGAAGACAGAGAGAGAGACCATGGGTTCAAATGTAGGGGAAAAAACTACGGAAGTAGAAGAAGAGGATAGGGAGAAATGAAAAATACAGTGGGAAACACAGAAAAATGGTATTAATTTATAATACATACAAGATATTAAAAAAATTGATAAGGTAGCAAAGAACGAGAATGAAAATGTATAGAAGAATGCAAAAATTGAGAAGAAGGTAGGATAGAAGAGAAGAGGAGGAAGATACCAAGACAGAAAGGGGAGAGACACAAAGAAAGCGTAAAGGAGGGTTGGACTGAGAGATAAAGACTGAAAGAAAGCGAGAGGGTGGCTTCATCCCCTTTATTCAACGTCGCAGACCCCGGGGGTGTACCTTTGAACCCCTTCGTCCCCGCGTGTCCTCTCTCCTTACGTCTCTCTATCTCTCGGTTATTTTCTCCCATTCGCGCGGTCTTTCCTTTAAACCCAAAGCGAACGTCTGACTCTTTTCTAAGACCAGGTTTACCCACCCGTCTCCCGTCGATCCAGATTAGAATTTAAGAAATATGGACGCACTTCGTCGATGTCACTGGCCATTTATAACGAAAAGTACAGACATTACTCAATATAGTAGCATTATCCTTGAATCGAATTCTGCTATAAATAATTATGATTGATTTTACTAAAATTTTGCACGATGGGTCTTTATATTAGATATATGAAATATATTCAAATTAAGTATCTATCATTTCTACTAAACATAGACAAATTTATTTCATTTTTATTATTATTCATGACGATGCGACAAAATATGATACATAATTTTCAACTTGAGAAACTGAACGACATTTTACATACATCATAATATTAGGGGAAACGGAAATAATCCTTCGACCTTTCTGATTATTAAAGATAGTGAGTCAATCGCAACATCCGAATTAATAATTCCGAATCTCGTGATTCATTGAAAAGGAAGAAGTACGTAATAACGTTGATCTGGAAATAGAACAAGAGCATATTGCTCGTATCATATCAATGTATGTATAATATCATTTTGAAATGGTGGAGCAATTTGGCGCCATATGGGAAGAGCCAAGAAGCAATAAGAAGCCTCTCTAGCCACTCTCTAAATTAATTCAATATGCCCGTGGCGTTTAACTATCAAAATCACGTTTCAAAATCGTGTTCCCATCACATCCGACAAACTGTTTTATATACAATGACAGTAATAGAATTACAAGAACGTATTTAACAAAAAATAAATTTAATTTCACTCTACTAGAATTATTATATAAAAAATGTAATATTAACAACGAATGATAATATAAAAGATTCGCTGCAATTTTTTTTTCCATTGTTCGAACAAATCAGGCTTATATTAGCTAAACGGTTATCGTGAACAGTTCCAAAGGCTGTTTGTCATGATTTTCTGTTGTGGCTCGGGGCCAACGGTTCAGGAATCGAATTCGGTACGTTCCCAAAAGTGATTTGGCGTGGAAGAAGAATCCCAGTTACGGCTAATATTCCCTCGACCGTAAGGATCCGATAAAACCCTGCGGCTGTGTAATTTTATCAAGCACGTAACCGAATCTAATTTAAGAAATCAATGCCTTGCCGTTACATTCGATTTAAAGGGTACTAACGATGAGTACACACCAAGTTTACTCAGTATGTTCACACACGTGTCAACAGACAGTAAGTCCTACGCAAACACACGCTGTTTGAACTGTTTCATTGATCTTATTCCCTGATCGGTTATTATCATCTGTTATTTGTATTTAGACACGTTTATAATCTCGTATTGATTCGCGAATTCGTATTAGGTCATTGCACTGCGCTCCCGGATATTGCATTATACCGCGATAATGTTAGAACACGCCAGACTACATCGTGCAAAGCTAGCATCTTAAACTCGTTATCTATCGATTTTTATTCAACGAAACTTCAGATGAACTTCTCTTAAATGAAGACGCACGCCTTTATTCCAACGATTAATGCTTGCTATAGGAATTCGTGCTCTGCGTGTTAATTTTCAATATTAATTCTTATGAATATCAGTTCTTAATTTTTCGCATTTTATGGCGTATTGTTAAATATTTTCAACAAGATGCGGAAATTAAGTGAAACCGTTAAATTCAACAGGGATCCAAACACGGTTGATAATACCTTTCCTCGTGTATGCACGTTATAAAATCCCTTGGTCAATATTGAATTGAATTTGATTAATATGAACCGCGCGTAAATAAAACGAGACCCTCATCACAATATTATCATGTACACATTGAATAATGAAATATCGAGGCACCGAAATAACAACGAACACGTTCCGATATGGATTTCGTTTAAACTGCAATAACAACTGGTTTATTCAACAGGGGGATGCGCGATCGTGACCAGAAAAAAATTGGTTAAAAAAATCAGACAATAGATTTTTGAACGTGTCCAGCGGTCGTCGGAGCGGTCGTCAACGCATACGCACTCGACGGATTGCGCGCGCACGCGTGCTTTCTTCACCTCATAGCGTTGGTAACTTTTCACCCTCTCCGTGGTCGTCGTCGTCGGTTCGAGGTCAGTCCGTTCCGCGCAACGCGAGCCGAAACAGCAGTCCCCGTCCGCGTCGCGTCGCGTCGACGTTGACGTTGTTTCACGTACCTCGCCGTACCGTCGCCGCCGTCGTCGTCGACGATGACCTTTCGGGTAATCCGCGTCGGGGGTGGTGCCGCGGTGAAACCGGTATCTGTGATCCTTTAAACGAGACCCGAAGTCGCCGGTGGTTAGTGTCGACTGATTTGTGAACGGGGGGATAGGCGAGCGGGCAGAGAAAAAATTTTCGCTCTGGTGTCCATTGTGAATCCACAGGGAAGAGAGGAGAGGAGCGCCATCGCGAGACGATCGACATGGTGGATACCGAGTAGCGATTATGCGAACGAGCACCGAGACATGAAGGGAGCAAGACACAGGGTGAGTACGATACTCTCGCTAACCTACTCACCCTCAGAACTGGCTCTGGTCTCCTTTCAACAATGAGTGATGACTCGAGTACTTGAATAAATCGTACCCCGGTTCGCTCATATAGCCCTCGTGAACAGGATTTAAAAATATACATTATATTTATTTGAATCATTAAATCAACTGAATTAATATAGAACCGATGTGCAATGGACAAGCATTTGTATTTATCATTATGTCATTAGATGACAGTAAAGTGCTGTAATTCTGTTCTATTACAATCACGTTCAAATTCTGATTCACTTGATTTCTTAAATTATTTTGATTACAAAATCACAGGGTATACTAATCATTGTATATTATTTAAGCTATCGTACGTATTACAATTTTTCATGCCACCTGAAAAAGGTATAGAGCAACCAGCATTAACGTGCATTAACGAGTCAGGAGTTTTACGTGATAAGGACGTTTTACTTGATAGTCTAAAACGCTTCGTTACACGACAGTTGAAAAGCAAGGATCAATTTTATAATAACAGTAGCCCAACCACTAATTTCACATAATCACACACACATTTCAATGATGAGTTTTAATTCTGTTTAAGGAATAAATAAAGATAAATAAGATAATTATCAAAAATTTGTATGCTTTAACTCATGTGAATTTTTTTAAGCGAATTGCAATTGAAACATTAATTCGAATCCTAGTTTTATGAAATTACTATAATAATAATAATGATACAATGAAATAGGAATGTCTCCGTTTGTCTTCTAGATAAATTAATTGAGATAAGAGAATGCAATCTAATCTCGTGCAGTAATAACGTTGCATTATGTTTGAATTCTAATTGTATTCCGTTCCATGTGAATTTTCCGTGTTCTTATTGCTAATATGAAAACCGCCTAAGGTACGGTAGTCTATGTAGTTAACGCGAGAGTTCGTCCGACCGAATCATCCTTCAAAGTTAACTAGGTAACACAATAGCCGGGAAGAATACATTACTTTTTCGCCTTCTATTCTCCTGTACGGTCACACAATAAAATCGTTGGGAGTTGGAACGTGTTACCGTTACGTCAAACTGAATAAACGAAGTCGAAACTAAAAAAAGAACTGCGAACTTTTTGTACATTATGTTGCAGTACTTTGCTATCTGCCAGTATTTTATTATCAAATTCAATACTCTTGTATTCTGAAATATATTTTTATTTCGTGTCCAAATAAATTTTAATAATTGC